GGTACGTTCCGGTATACCGGACCGTACCCAGGGTACGTTCCGGCAGTACCCTGGGGGACACAGACCCTCTCAGCCTTAGTAACGGCATGCAGTACACATCGTACACGCGTTTTACATGAAAGTGCGATGGTAACCTCGTAATTTCTCACAAAATCTGAAGTTACATAGAACATTTGACCAATTTAGTGGTGTCGGTTAGTCATGGTCACGGATATGTCACAGTAAGTACTAACAGTAGATGTTTCACATACGTTCACCCATTTTGCACACAGGCGGTCGATCATTGTGAAAAATAGAAAAACGCTGATTTCTTCGTTTCAATTTCTGCCATAGTAGCTGGTGTATACTATAAATGGATATTTCTCTGTGATTACAACTCGGAATAATTTCATTTTACACTCGTTTTAATGGTAACATATTGCTGTAAAAAAAGTGCATCCGTGATTGTTATTAAGTGCTGTATTTTATGTGTTATGCTTCCTTATTTGGGAAATTTTTCAATTCAAACACAACTATAGGCAGTTTTTTCCATTATTTACGGTAAATATTCCTGACGCGCTTTTTTGGTTCATATTGTGCTTAACTTGTGGCGAAAGTTTTGTGCTCTCACTCTTTCTGGTAATTGAGAAATATCCAAAATACCATTTTTACATAAAAATTCAAAATTTATGTGGTAACATAATTAGGTGCTGGAAATTTCATGAAATTTTTTGGCTTGAGCATAGAGGTACATCTCATCTATAAATAAAACGTGATTGATTCGATTCATTTGTCAATAAACGTTTACTCTTCATTAGAGCAATACCCATGCAAAAGGTGGAGAGTATCCTTAATCTCTTAACGTGTCCAACCCAGCATTGTCAAAATTCTACACTGCACATTACTTGTAGTCTGTCTGGCAGCTGAAATGCAGCGTAATGCAAGTGGATGTACACAAGGGAAAACCGGTCTGCGTTTTTTAACGTTAGCATGTGCATTAAAGCCTTAAGCACGCCGCAAGCGGCTTGTGCGCAGTGCGCACCAGTCTAAAGATACCTCGAGCCGCTCTGCATTTACACTAATGCACGCCGGCCCGTGCGTTATCTGTATAATAACCTCTATTATGAAAATAATCCATTCTAGAAAAAACGTTAACACAAAATTAGTAGCATTAAATTTATAGTAAATTTATATAGTTTATAACTTTATAGAAGGGTCACACAAGCATTGACTAGTTAATTGGTACTGCCATTATCAGACTCACGTTTGAATCCATGGACATTTCCTTATTTCCACAAAATTCTAGGATTCCATAGCAATAGTATAAATAGACACAGAACAACTGTTAGGTACACACCTATTTACATTTTCATCCTTCACAAAAGACTATATATAACTATAAGCTAGCAGGTTCTTACAAAACTAATACATTTACACTTACTTTCGAGCATTTCTTTCTGCTGTTGAACAAGTAGCTGATCAATCTGCGTTAGGTACTCCAATCCAGGGGGTATAATAGGAACTGAAATTGAAAATAATTACTACATAAACACTGCATATACCTTACGCACACCACTTGAGTTCGCCGTGCGCACCAGTCTAAAGATACCGAGCGCCGCGCTGCATTTACATTGATCGCACAACAGGCCAAGTGCGTTATCTGTTTTATAAAATTGCGACACACACAATTAATTGAAAATAAATAGTAAGTCTAGATCACGAAAATTTATTCCAGTCCCGAAAGTCAAAAACAAACACATTCACAGTTTAGTAAATTGCTTCACACACAATTAACAGTATGTCTAGATAAACAGTCTAGATAAATAGTCTAGATAAATAGTCTATAAAATCAATAGTAAATCTACATCTCGAAAATTTCAGTTTGATGCTTAATTATTGTAAATGTTAACATAATCGCGAGCGTGCAATATAACTTTTTTTTGCGCTTTTTTTTGCACGGTTTGGCGTACATTGTAACAATAACAACGGCGTGTCACGTGACGCGTTTTGACCAATCATGATGCATAAAATATCCGAGCCATTTGATAATACTGTATATATGGTTTGGTAAACCAGTTATACTGTATAATTATTTTTAAAACAACTATATTGTTTTAATTCTGTTTACAGTCTTCACAGGATGGGAGAGTCAGAACAAGTACAAGATTGCCAATACATTGGGACAGCCAGTCTATTTCAGTACAGAAGGTGAGTTGCTCGTTTTTGCACAAAACTGCCAGCTACGTATAAGAAAGAGATTATCAGAAGTACACTGAAGACAAGTTTAGTTACTGTGGAATTACTGACAACCTGGATCAAGTTGTTTGAATAGCAGGCAGGCCAGCTGCTCCAGTATTGCTTGTCTGAAGCTATTTACCTAAAGCTTCATCTTATATCTCGTTTACACAACAAATCTCTGAACCACAGAAACAGCAGCAAACCATTAGAAACAGCAGACGACGCAGACAAAATATAAGAACGTCAGCGAGGGCAATAGGTTATACTTATAGGTTACCAGATCAGCTGTCACTCATTTTGGTTCAGGCCAAAATTTGACAGTATCTGCATGATGAAATAAATACTTTCGAACTCGAATGTTTGGAAGAGCCATGGGAGGAATTATACAAGTTTACACTTGTATCTAATGCTGTCCGTCTATTTGCACCACGTCTATTAGACCAATAAATTGTGCCCTAACAAATTTTATATTCTGATGTTATTTTAGGTGCCTAAAATTACATCAGAATATAAAAAATTTTAGGGCACAATTTATTGGTCTACACGTCTATGAGCACAAAGCTGTGATGGTTAATTTCCCGATCGTGTTCGTATCTTGCATAGATTCTAACCTGTGTGAGCGACAATGCTGTGCAAATGCTCGTAGCTTTACGATGGCCATCGTTGACACGACCGGGAGAGAGGTGATATCGCTGGAAAGACCTCTCAAATGCACATCCATGGGGGGCTGCTGCTGCTGTCAGTGCTGCTACAACTGGTTGCAGGTCAGTTGATAAATGCGATGCTTAGACATTTGACAATTTATTCATTGCTCTTGACAATTGAAGAGCTATGATCTTGAGTGAGACGACCATTCCCTGTTTGGATATTGTCACTTGACCAGTTAGGCTCGCCTAGTTTGTACATGGTGCATGCCAAAATGTCAACTCTTTGGCATGGCGTTGCTATTTGTTATTAGAATCCTATCACAATGTTAATTAGCTAGAGCTATTCCACAATGATACCATGCAGGTATGATGCCCATATAATGCCCATACCCATCATACCCCATACCCATCATACCCATATGATGCCATAGGTTAGTTATGGCAATAGGAGATCGATTGGTTGATTCTAACTATCGGATGATTAATTTACCTTAGGCTTATGTATTTTTTAGTATGCGTATAATTTCGTTCTTAAGCCACATGTATGTATGTTCCTCCACTCTCCAAGACCTCCGAGTTCACATACGGACACTGAAGAATACAAGCGTGAATTAGATGCGATTATTCATCAACATAACTTAAATAGTCGCTGTAAATTCGAGTAATAATATTTGTGCAGGAAGTGAAAGTCTATGCACCCAGAGGATCCCTGATTGGTACCGTTCACGAGAATTTCAACTACTGCGTTCCAAAGTACTCTATCTTTGATGCTGCACACGACGAGATATTCCGCATAGAGGGCGACACTTGTGCGTGTGCTTGTATAGGAGGAAACGTTAACTTTGAGGTAATTTTTAGCTCACCTTGACATCGTCAAGCTGAGCTATTGCCATGAGTCGTCGTCCGTCGTACGTCCGTCCGTCCCTCCGTCCGTCCGTCCGTCAACATTTCGCTACGGTCAACGATAACTCAGGAACCGTTTGGGCCACATGTTTATAATTGGGTATAGTTGTTACTGCTATGCTCCCATATTAAACGTCCTATTTTGAAGCACGCATCGACGTACTTCGAGCCACAGGCAATTTTTTGGCAAAAATGGGAATTGCCATTAGTCAGTTCAGGTTCAAACCGATTTTGCCCTTCCATTTTTGGTGTTCCGTGAATTGAATACGGCTAGGAATTTTGATATTTACAAACATTAGGCAAATTACGTATGGGTTTGGAATTATATAGCATTTATATAGACACAAACAGTCTGTGGTGTCACATCGATCTGGTTCGTTTACAATATTTCATTGACATATGTTCTAATTGCAAAATTGGTATTCCTCTCCACCCTAGCCGATAAAAGTCTATATTAGCAGCTAAAGTTTTACAAAAATGTCGGACGCAGCATAACCTATTTATTTTCACGCCATCGCTACAAAGGCGGCATATGCGCCATCTACGAGCTGTCGAATTGCTGTTATTTTGTGTTTATAAATTATTATTGCCGATATACAAGATGGCAATCGTTTCTAAAATGTAGTCGAGATTGCTCAATTAAAACTGACTTTGCTTACTTACTCATTTTGTCCTTTTTTTGTGGTGAGCTACAGTGTCATTTGACACTTTTCATTCATAATTTGCTTACCTCCTTCTAGTTACTTGTTCCTTGTCTTATCAAGCCAGCCCAAGCTGCAACAGTCCGTCGTGACAGACTTTAAGTTGTGACTTCTATTCATTTCATGTGCTTGTGGTTTGCGATTTCTGTCATCTGCCACGGCGCTCGTCGTTGAGCGAATGGCCGAATTCAGAGAACAGTGGACTGGACTTGTGCGAAGTGGTTTACTGACGCCCGACAATTTTTAGCGGGTCAGTTGTCCATTGGACCCTTGACGTTAACATGATAGTAGCGATTTTCTGGGAGCACTCTCTCCTGATTGTGAGTAGCGCAGGTACGGTTTTTAATTTATTAGGAAATTGATTATTCGAAAATTTTTTCAGGCTTGGCAGCAAGTTGATAGAGCTTCAGGGCAGAAGATTTGCTTCAAAGCAAGTTGATTGCCTGATTATATATATAGTGCTGCGCCGATGCCTGGTTCTGGCGTTTGATGAGCCAATTGTAATGAAAAATACAATAAACAAACAGCAAGGATGTATGTAAAATTACCAGATGTTAAAAGATTTTGTTATTAAAGGCATTTCCCTGCATTGCATAACCGAATTTTATCTTCAAGAATATTAAGACGGTTACTTGATAGATATTCTGTTTTACTTACGGGCCTGAATTTGGCCATACAATTTTATGTGAGTGTGTCGCTTTTGTGCAAAATGTATTTTACGTGCTATTCTGCCTCTTATCTATTTCAGACTTTGTCTACTTGAAAGTAAACGGCTTAAGAGCACCAGTTTTGGTAATCTTTCCCTCCATTAGAAAAAAGATGAGCTTATTAGCTAGCTCTTATGGATATATTTTGTAAATTGATCTTCAGTTATATTGAGAGTTTTTCTTGTTTTCAGTTTAACAGGTGCTTGTTTTGCACTGTATTTGAATTGGAATACATGACTGTAATGTTTTTTCATCATATCGGATGTTCTAAATAGTGTAGATAGAAATCGAAAGCATCTGACTAGTGACACTAGATTGCTTTACTCCCACATGGAGTGCGGAGGTGTAATAGTAGGGTGACTACTCCTACGGCAACGTTGATTGTAATGACGTATCAATTCTATGGCAACGAAAATGTGTATACTTAATGTAATAAGAACAATGCTGCCTTAAATACCAAATACGCTGAATAATATTAAGTTAAGGTCACCTTAATTTTGGGGTTTTTAATTCAGTATTAATACAGTATTATCGGACGACAGCTTGAGAAAATAGTTAGGCTCGTTTTTTCTTTTCCTATGGCCAAAAAACGTTTCCCCACATATATATTCTGCAAGATCGTAGCAGGATATTATCAATTTATTATTGATTTCTTATGACTATTACCAGTTGTATAATTGCTGCTATGTGTATGATTTTAAATAATTTTTAAGTGTTTATTAGGCTTTGGGTAAATGCTTTTCATTTAATAATTTTGTTTGAATATGCATGTGTATTATCGCATAACGTGATGTTGTCGTATATTGTGTTTGTCACCTTGTAATGCGACCCATTCCCTGGCTCTCTAAATCCTTTTCTTGTGTACATTCTTCTCGTTAATCACTGTTTAGTCAGGGCTCTGCTTTCACAACAGCTTAGTCAGACTAGTGATTTAGCACTTCCCTTTTATAGGTATTGGTGGTGGGCACTTTGCGTATGGGTTTGGATCATTGCAATGGCGTAGTGATGCACAACGGGTAGCAGAGGCCAACTCTGACCAGTTTAATACTTATTGTGAAGATGCATTAAGACTGAAAAGGCTACGTATTACTGAATGAACTAAAATTGGGGGTTTTAACGGCTAGAGAGTGGGGCAACCGAAGTCGCAGCAATAAGGTAAACAGGGGTCACTTGTGATGTTCTGTAACATACCTTTCAATTAGTTTGGAAGGATGGGTCTACTTGACCGCATGTTGATTAAAAAACGTTCACTTTACGCGTGCTTAGTTCTCGGGTTATTGTTTTTGCGCAAGTTATATTTTACCTATGTATTAATAGAAACATATGTTCCTATATGTTTCTTAACAATAGACTTAAACTTAGATGTTTTTTTTCAACTCACTTTATATGCAAGCGAAGATTGTCGATTGAAACTGTGTTCTTTTAAATGCGCTGTATTCGGAGGAAAATCTATTACATTTCAAGGTTGAAACTTTTTCATTTCTAAGCCATGTATCTTTCAGGGATAGAATTCTCGATGGAATCCACTTTCTTCACGTTTTTGGCTGTGTACTGTAATTTTTATGATTGCGTTGTATCTGCCACGGACCTGTTCGTCTGAGAAACAAAATATCGCTGAGAGGGTCTATGTCCCCCAGGTACTCCGGAACGTACCCTAGGTACTATTACATATGCCGGACCGTACCTCGCCTACTCACTAACGAGTCGTAGGGAGTCGCCTTCGCCTACTCTCTACCCTAACCTAACGCCTAACCTTAATCCTAACCCTAACCATCTAGCATAACGTTACAGGCGTACGTTCGGTATTACCGCGGACCGTAGCCCCAGGTTACGTTCTGGCAGTACCCGTGGGGGACATAGACCCTATGAGCACACTTCATGAGTCAAAAATGTCAGACCTTGCTGAATGACATTCTCACTTCAAAGTTTAGTGAAATCTCCAACATGCTATCGAGTGGCATAATAGCCTAATGAATTCTAAAACAACACGCCCAAGCATTATTATAAACTGGGGGTAAACAAGTTTACGGTGTAGCATGCCCTAGAACCTTCCCCTAGGCCTTAAACCCATGTTTAAGTGTTTGCCCAGTATTATATCATTGTAAAATTCCTATATGTTGTGCTTAAATTTGTTCTATCCTCGTATATATAAAACACCATACTACATATATATATGTGTGTGTGTTGTGTGTGCGTGCAGTGTACCGGCCGTTGCGTGCGGTGCGTGCGTGCGTGCGTGCGATGCTGTGCGTGCGGGCGTGCGTGCGTGCGTACGCGATGCGTGCGTGGCCGTGCGTGCTGTGGCGTTTGTGCGCTGTTTTTAATGGGTACTCATACCAACAGCGTTCCAGATTGTCTCACTCCTATTAATTGAAGATGGTACAATATTGGTAATCTCGATCATGTGTAATGCAATGGTTGTAGCCGGGAAAACTAATGAACATACAGATCTAGTAATATTTTCTTCACGTAGTTGTTGAGATAAGTTTTAAAATTCGTTCGCAAATATTTAGTGACCTATTAATTGCTATGCAAAATAAGTTTGATGAATTATATTGTGCAAACCCACGTTTCGTTAACAGGAAATTAATGTTAAAGTTATTAACCCGTGAACGATCTCTGTTGCCCAATAACTGTGATTTGGGCATAATTATTTTGTCACGTACAAACGCTTCTCATTTTCTTTATCTGTTTTCATAGCCTGGTGTACCTGGTGCAATAGCAGGCACACTAGCGGTCTATTTTTTCGATGAACATCCGTGTTTTGATTGTCAGCCATTTCATGAAATTATCTTTTGCACCGGGTCATTTCGTCGCGGTGTTGGTATTTTTTATTAAACGCGTATAATTTTTTTTCTGGCAAGTGTTTATTGGGGGAATTTCGGCTAAACTAGTGATAACATCGAGCAGCTACCGTTAGTAGCTCATAAAGTTACTAATGATATATGTTGCCGTATCCTCCACGTCCTAAGATGCTGAAGCTGAATAACGACAGGGTGATAATGATCGAAAGAAACTCGGTAAATGTTTGGCGTTCATAACTATAAAAATTCATGGAATATTTTGGGATGCTTTTCACGAAGAAATCTCATTCTCTCTCATTGAAGCCTGAGAAATACTGGTGTTCTAAAGATTATGTTCAATGTAACCTAGACAATATGCCAAAATTCTATTGCAGAGCTAGAGGTAGTTTGAATATACCGTACATGGACTAGGTGAGATAGTCGGTCATGAGTAGTATTGAGCTACCGGTACCTGCATCTTTCGTGGATGTGGGCAGCGTGGGGCTCATAGGGTCTATGTCCCCATGGGTACTCGCAGGAACGTACCCTTGGCGTACGTCCGATAATTACGAACGTACCTGGTAACTATTTGATATTGAGTTAGGGTTAGGGTTAGGGAGTAGGCGTAGGCGAATCCTAGACCGTCTAGTGAAGGAGGTGCAGGGTATCGCTCCGTCATAGTTATGATAATACCAGGCTGCAGGTTTACCGTGTCCGGACTATACGCGATCGTATCCAGTGTTTACGTATTCGGCAGTACCCTGGGGACAGTAGACCCCTCTCAGCTGAAAGTGGACTTAATATGGACATTAAAAAATTGGAAAAAAGTTATTTTGTGAACACCCGCACGCGCTTTAAAACCAGTATTAAACTTCATCTATATTGTACGGGTTATTTGCGATAGATATCTAAACAACAGATCACGGTACGCTATTTTCATGATGGTTTTGATTGCTTGCGCCTGTCTTTTATTGTGTTTTAATTAAGGGCGATTTGGAAATTGACAATAAAACAGACCAGTATTCTATTTCTAGATCCTACGTTGGGTATAAAACAGCAGTGTATAGTGTTTCTTACATAATTAATAGGTTTTTGGAAACGGGAGGTAAGCAGTGTTATACAGAGGCATTGGCTTGATTTATTTGCCCTCCATGCACGGTTTTTATTGGGCGCTATTGCATAGTAATTCTCATGTCGGGGTCCCGAAACCGGTGAGTGTGTTTCGTTGGAATGAGCTTTATTAATCAATGCCTGGTTTTAAAACCAATCTTCCATGACTTTTTTCTCTTCTTTAAAAGATATTAATAGATTCTTTCGCCATTCGTTTCTCCACTCTATCTAGATGTACGCGTTTTATGAATGCCATGAATAAAATTCCAAAATATACCTATTACACCTGATTTATNTAGCAGCCTTAGTCAGTAGAGGTCGGTATTGTGCAAGTTGGTTAAAGGGAGACAGAGAGATACGTTCGAATCCGTCTGGGGGAAAATTATTTGACGTTTTATTTTTTCCATGTAATATTGTAATGTTCCTAATGTTATTCTATTACGTAGACAACTCAGAATAAAGATAACGAAATAACGCAATTCATAACGTGATAATGAAATCAACGTATAGTTAGCCAATATAGCAGTAGAGTCTGACATTCCAAGGAACGTTCTGTGTTGTCTGCGGTCTCTAATGTAGGGCTGCTCGCCGGCGGCTCCGTGCAGTGTTCTTAGGGTTTGTTGGAGACGGGGTACTCTTGGGTGTGTGGCCGTCTTTCATGGGAGCCCTCTTGTCGGGTGGAGGAGTATGCTGCGGGATGTGATGAAAAAGAGACAGTGGAACACCTGCTATGCTGTCTGATATACGAAAACCAACGAAATGAAGTGTGTGGCTCAAAATACATCTTAGAGCTTCTCAATGACGCCTCCGCCAAAGTTCCTCGAGAGGATTTGCCGCCTGGCCGCACCTGGCAGCCCACGTACTGAGCTGTGATACTCCGCATCACAGCCACGGAGAGAGTAGACTACAGAAGAAGAAGAAGGGAACGTTCTGTGATGGCGCGGATAGTGGTTATATCTGATGAATACAGATCCTTCCAGCAGGGAAGCCATCTTGTTCTTTGCGTAGCCTGGTGTTTACGGCGGGTTTCCCACTGTCCATGATCAGCCTTGTCAATATCTTGCAAGGTACGGACAGATTCTATATTCCTCTCTCCTTATAATTCCAGAAAGTCGATAAGAGCTCATTTTCCAGGAAGTTAATGATATTCTCTTTTTGCCATTCCTCGGACACTATCTTTCCAAGATATATTTAAAAAAGGTCTGGTATTATGCCTGTTGCATTGCCCTAGAACTATTTTTAGTGCGTAAATCTTAAATTCTTCAGTGCTAATGTCTGAACCAGAAGCTTCGGGTTCGTTGGCTTTGCTGGTGGCTTGCGTGATTGAATTCTTCGTGATGGGTCATGAATTAATGTAGGCCTACATCTGTAGTTTGTCAACTACTATGGTTCGGGTCTTCACATGACTGCCCGTATGTAGGGCGCTGAAATAATTTTTCCATCTCACGAACTGGTAGCCTTGTTTGCTTTGTCCTTTCTCATCTTTACCCTTTACTGGCTTACTCATGTATAGGTTCTCCTTCCTAGANTTACTGTGGAATTACTGACAACCTGGATCAAGTTGTTTGAATAGCAGGCAGGCCAGCTGCTCCAGTATTGCTTGTCTGAAGCTATTTACCTAAAGCTTCATCTTATATCTCGTTTACACAACAAATCTCTGAACCACAGAAACAGCAGCAAACCATTAGAAACAGCAGACGACGCAGACAAAATATAAGAACGTCAGCGAGGGCAATAGGTTATAGGTTACCAGATCAGCTGTCACTCATTTTGGTTCAGGCCAAAATTTGACAGTATCTGCATGGTGAAATAAATACTTTCGAACTCGAATGTTTGGAAGAGCCAAGGGAGGAATTATACAAGTTTACACATGTATCTAATACTGTCCGTCTATTTGCTCCACGTCTATGAGCACAAGCTGTGATGGTTAATTTTCCGATCGTGTTCGTATCTTGCGTAGATTCTAACCTGTGTGAGCGACAATGCTGTAAAAATGCTCGTAGCTTTACGATGGCCATCGTTGACACGACCGGGAGAGAGGTGATATCGCTGGAAAGACCTCTCAGATGCACATCCATGGGGTGCTGCTGCTGCTACAGCTGGTTGCAGGTCAGTTGATAAATGCGATGCTTTGACATTTCACAATTGATTCATTGCTCTTGACAATGGAAGAGCTATGATCTTGAGCGAGATGACCATTCCCTGTTTGGATATTGTCACTTGACCAGGTAGGTTCACCTAGTTTGTACATGGTGCATGCCAAAATGTCGACCCTTTGGCATGGTGTTGCTATTTGTTATTAGAATCCTATCACAATGTTAATTAGCTAGAGCTATTCCACAATGATGCCAGGTAGATAGGTTAGTTATGGCAATAGGAGATAGATTGGTTGATTCTAACTATCAGATGATTACCTTATGTATTTTTTAGTATGCATATAATTTCGTTCTTAAGCCACATGTATGTATATGTTCCTCCACTCTCCAAGACCTCCGAGTTCACATACAGACACTGAAGAATACAAGCGTGAATTAGATGCGATTATTCACCACGTTGCTGTAAATTCGAGTAATATTATTTGCGCAGGAAGTGAAAGTCTATGCACCCAGAGGATCCCTGATTGGTACCGTTCACGAGAATTTCAACTACTGCGTTCCAAAGTACTCTATCTTTAATGCTGCACACGACGAGATATTCCGCATAGAGGGCGACACTTGTGCGTGTGCTTGTCTAGGAGGAAACGTTAACTTTGAGGTAATTTTTCATAATTTGCTTACTCCTTCTGCTACTTGTTCCTTGTTTATCAAGCCAGCCAGCCTGCAACAGTTCCTCGTGAAGACATTAAGTGTGAACTTCTATTCATTTCATGTGTGGTCTTGCAGATTCTGTCATCTGCCACGGGTGAGCGAATTGGCCGAATTCAGAAGCAGTGGACTGGACTTGTGCGGGAGATGTTTACTGACGCCGACAATTTTGGCGTTCAGTTCCCATTGGACCTTGACGTTAAAATGAAGGCGATCCTTCTGGGAGCTCTCTTCCTGATTGTGAGTAGCGCAGGTTTTTAATTTATTAGGAAATTGATTATTGAAATTTGTTCAGGCTCTGCAGCAAGTTGTAGAGGCTTCAGGGCAGAGATTTGCTTCAAAGAATTGATTCCTGATTATATATATAGTGCCTGT